CAAACCAACTGTAGTGTAGGAATGAGTACACTAGGAATTTTATAAAGATGCTCTTCACAGTTGCTAAAAATTAATTTACAAGTTTACTTTTTAACTAACTCCAGGTAATGTTTCTCTCACTAAACCTGCCTGTGATCACAGATGCAGCTTGTAAATGAACAACTTGGATCAAGGTGCATTGGTGGGGGTAAACTCCAGTCTCTCTATCATCTATCAAAGGTTGTTCCTAATGACGTACTTAGAATCGAGTGGATGTATCATAGCGGAAGAATAAAGTTCCATTACAGTCTCATTTCCAAATAAATGAGTGGGGAAACTGCAAGGTAAAAGCTCATTCTCAGCATGCTCAGGGAGGCTCTTCTCTGTTGATTGGCAGCCTGGGAGCCAAGTGGAACAATAGAAGTCCAAGCCTTTGTGCAGGCAATAAAAGCCACCAGCCAGCTCACAACCCATTGTGAGCTCAGTTTCTTCAAAATACTTTAATACTCATCATATTTGTTGCACTCCAGTCACTGGAGTGGGTAAAAAAAGATGCAGAAACTGCTCCTGGTACCTGCTCAGACTTAGTAAAGGGGGTTCTTGACTTACTTTTGAAAGTGATGATCAAAAGGAAAAGAATGAGCTGTCTTTCTTCATGGCAGTGGGCAGCAAAAAGAAGCCTAAAGAGATTTGGGGGTTTTTAAGCTTATTTTATTTGTTTTGCATTAGAAAGTAAATTCCACTGTTCCCAGAAAATAAGAGAAACATGTTCTGAAATATAAGAGAATGAAAGCAAAGCACTGACTGATGTTTAACCAAGCTGTTACAAGCTATTTCTTTTGAAATGTTGAATTCCATTTAATGGCAGGCACTTCTTGAAAAGTGCTTCTGCTTGCACTGTGAGATTGTATTTGTTAAAACTTGGCATAAACAGTGTGTTATTAAGGCAGTATTTCTGTGACCTTAGAGGAATGTTTCAAAAACCAGCCCTAACTTTGAAACCTAATTTTAAATGATTGCCTCTGATTATCATCTTTCTCTTACAAATCATTGTATGTAAAATATAGCCTATATTATCCTGGACTCTAGTTCTGCTTTGAAATCTTTTGGTATCTGTTGTCTTTTCAAAACAAAAATATGGTAAACTCTGGACTGATCAATAACATCAGCAAAAATCTTGCAGTGAGCAGGTGAGCGGCCAGCATGCTTCCAAATGCCTCTGAAGGTAATGGATTACCTGTCAAAGCTGTGGCTGTGGTGCATTTGCTGTGGATTCATGTGCAGTTTCCTCCCAGGATGACCACTCTTTAGTATGGTAGTAAGAAATTTCTGTGTCTTTTCATTTTCTAAAAGTTCTTTCTAAACTTGGGAGAATGATACCAGAATTTTAAAAAGTAATAAGAGTAATAAAAATTAATCGCAGTTCTAAAAGTTCTTTCTAAACTTGGGAGAATGTTATCAGAATTTTAAAAAGTAATAAGAGTAAAAAAATTAATCACAGCTCTTCTTGCTCACAGAGGGAAGGAGAAGTTTTATCCTTTACAGGTTCTGTCAGCAAACTGAGTTCTGATGAGTAATAAAAATTGACATGGCAAGAAAATTATCACGTGATTGCATTTTTATGCTAATAAATACCTTTAAAAGCTCTGGTCTCCAATTCATAGATCAGATCCAACACTTATTTTACAGTTGGGGCTGATCCTGACCCTCCCCTTTACATAGTACAGTGGTCTCTGGGCTCACGGGGTCTCTGCTGACTGTCCTGGCTCTGCTGGGGCTGCAGGGACATATTACCTCATACTTTTAGTTGGCTGGGAATTACTTCTATATAAGGACCAATCTGTCACTCAAGGGCAAATGGACAAGAAGCTTCTAAATCTAATTTAATCTAAACTAAAAAAAATTAAACTAGAACTGCTTCAGAGAAATGCTTCTGCTTTGCTTTCCTTTATCAAATTTTTTTTCTTTAGAGTGGACTCTATACATCTTCCAGGGTTCATCAGAGGATGGAGCTGACACTGAAGCCTGTTGGTGGGATGTGTGTTAACACTGGGAGCAAATGCTATGGCCCTGGCAGGAGGGACCCCATGTTCTCCCCAGAGCAGCTTTGTGAGCTGGACAGAGCCTGGTCTTGTTCTACAGGTACAGAAACTTCTCGCAGTGCTTTGAGTGTGCAGTGCAGCCAGGCAGGCAAGTGTTCAGAGAAGTCAGGCTTGCCTCTGCATTTCATTCTCTTCAACTGCTTCTGAGAAAGGAGAAGATGGGGAAGAAGGGTATGTCTACTGGCCTGCTGAAAAATGCTAACTAGCATTTCTCTGGTAACCCACGCAGTGCCTGGTTAATACCTGCCTGCTTTGAATACAAAGATAGAATTTGCTTGCTGCCTTGTTATCCAGAACTGGCCTTATCAGCTTGCTGGACTGTATCTTCATGGAAGACTTGTGCCTAAATCCACTGATGTTTCAAAGGTAGTTAGTGTTGTATTTAGAGGAGGTTGTAGCTATGGAGAGTGATGTGCTCAGCTCTGGGTTTCTATATTTACGTGGAATCCTTTAACATGCTGGGAGAAAGACAAGCACTTCATACTAGAAGCTGCAAGGAGACATGGATTTGTTAAGTTTCCTTGTCCTACAGAACTAGAGAGCCTGTGGTTCCAGCCTTGCTCATAACCTGCCAAGCCTCAACCATCTCCTCTCCACAGAGTTGCGTGTGTCCACAAAAACCATCTCCTCTCCACAGAGTTGCGTGTGTGTCCACAAACACGCAGGTAGATGTGTGCACCTTACTGTTTTGGATGAAATCTCTAACTGTGATTGCTGGGTTAATTAAAACTGATTTGCAGGTGAAAACCCAGTGTAATGCAAGGTCTCATCTTTCCCTTGCTGTTGTTTCCACCTCCAATGTGTCATGTCCTTCCTAACACTTCTAAGAGCTGCCCTCTTCCTCCCCTATACCTGCCCCTTACCCCATGCTCCTCCCAACTCCCAACCTCAAAATTTTTCTTTTGGAAATTTGAGAGAGAATAGGAATAGATTTTTATTTTTTTGAAGACTTATCTGTTTTCCCAAGATGGTGTTCTCTACAGCTGCAAAACAAATGCATTGTGTCTGTGTGGTTACTTTACTCCTTAGTGGCATCCCATATTCACAGAGGCAGTAAGCTCTGACCAGTTCAGAACAGAAGAAATTTTATGGTTATTTCTACAAGTTTTTCTAGCTCCTTTCCTGCAGCTTGATACTGCCATTGTTTTTTTTTTTAAAAAACAGCAATATTTTCACATGTTGCTAACTCCTTTCCTTTTCTCAGATGCTACATAAAATATTTGTTAACTTTTTGTTTGACACCATGGAGCTGGAAATGCCAAGTTCCTCTTTCTCACTTTAAACACAAACTCTAGTTAGCTTCTAGTCCAGGACTGGCACCTAGTTCTTTAACGAAATGCCTCAAAAGAAATTTCTTATTCACAAGGAAGAGCAAAACAAAGTAGTCCTTGCTCTACTGGACTTTGTCCCCCCAGTTCTGCAGTGATAAAAGATATGGCTTAGTGGAGATTGAGTCCATCTCCTGCTTCTACAACTGCATTGGTTAAGCTGCTCTGCTTAGAGCCAGTTCACAGCATAGAATGCCCACACTATGCATGATAGTAAACAAAAAGCCAAGAAAATGAGCTGGGCTCATTTGGTCAAATCCTACTGATTCTTTTTGTGACTTGAAACATATTGCTTCTCCCCTCTGGGCACTTTGTCCAGTTGCAATCTAGTGCATGAAAAGCACATATGTCGGCGCAAATGATAGCTCATGTCTCTACAGGAAAAATATTATCCTGTAAGTGCTAAGTATTTTCTATTTTTATTAGTTAGATATAGATATTGGAAGCAAATATAGAAGCAAAGAGTAGTACAGAAATAACCTTAACATACAGACATAATTTATATTAAATTAGGCATTCACTATGCAAACTCATTTATAGTCTCTTCTTTTTCTTCTCCTGAGCTAACTGTCCTTTGTGCTGAACTAAATTAGCCATAGAACTTGAAGCTTCTTGATAAATTCTGAGATGCTGACCCTGCCAAATCCTTGGCCAAGATCAGTGATTCTTCATCATTTGGCACATGGCTTCTTGATAAATTCTGAGATGCTGACCCTACCAAATCCTTGGCCAGTGATTCTTCCTCATTTGGCACTCAAAAGCACACATGATGTTAGCTTTTTGTTTGTTATACATCTTCTTGGATATTCATGTTAATCTGGAATTTTCCTGTGAGGAATTAGCCAAATTTCTCCACAACGTACTTCTCTGGTTTTAGTCCATGCTACTCAATCCCTTTGATTTCTTTCCTCTTTTTTTTCTTTTCCTCTTGAAACAGGAAGACACTCAGTCCTGAATTTAATTTTACTGGAAGCACAAGGAAAGGAATGGGGCTCTTTCATTTTGTTTTGACCATGAAGTTTTTCCCTTCTGGGCTGAGGTTGCTAGAGACTCAGTACAGTGTTTAGGTTGCAGCTTTCAAATGTGGGCCAAGCAACAGTTGTGGTTTCGCAGTGTTTTAGTGAACCTTCTCAGATAGTGTTTGCAGAACCTGCTTCTCTGCGCTGTTGTGCGCAAAAGGCCGCCAACGTACTTCTCTGGTTTTAGTCCATGCTACTCAATCCCTTTGATTTCTTTCCTCTTTTTTTTCTTTTCCTCTTGAAACAGGAAGACACTCAGTCCTGAATTTAATTTTACTGGAAGCACAAGGAAAGGAATGGGGCTCTTTCATTTTGTTTTGACCATGAAGTTTTTCCCTTCTGGGCTGAGGTTGCTAGAGACTCAGTACAGTGTTTAGGTTGCAGCTTTCAAATGTGGGCCAAGCAACAGTTGTGGTTTCGCAGTGTTTTAGTGAACCTTCTCAGATAGTGTTTGCAGAACCTGCTTCTCTGCGCTGTTGTGCGCAAAAGGCCGCTTCTGACGTTGAGCTTTTAAATTAGAAGGGAGAAGTCTGTCACGCTTCTGACGTTGAGCTTTTAAATTAGAAGGTTCATTGAATCTCCTGTAGTTAGGTAGGAAAGACTATAATGATGCAAGCACAGTCCCTTCTTCCTGGGTTGAGAACGAGGTATGTGCAAAGGGGGGACAGGCCCTTCACCCACACGCGTAGCGAACGTGCGTGGCAGCAGCTTGCCAACACCTACACGAGAGCTAGAACAAGCAGGGCAGGGTGGACTCTGATCTTTTCCAGCGTGCTCGGTGGGGTGCCGAGGTGGTTGCTCTGTTCTCATGTATAAATAACTGCCGATAAGCTATTTATAGGCAGGTAAATAAGAATCTAAAGCAACTTATGTTCTCTTCTTGGCGCAGAGCCATTATGGTGATCTCTTAGCTGGCATATGTTGTTAGGAAGTGCTGTAGTGATTCAGCGTAGCTGTTCAGGGCTCTGTTGTATGTTGATCTGGTGCTGCTGTTCCCTGCATGCTGCAGTAGGAGCTCTTCTCCCACGAGGGTCTGGCCACGTGAGCCTGTCAGCCTGACTCCTACATCCGTGTCGTACAGCCAGTTACAATCTGCTCTTTTGATTCATGTTCAGCGTGGTTCAGGTGCTCTTTGCAAGATCTTGCTATTTTCCTTTCGCATTTGCTGGAGACCAGCATGCAAAGGCTCCTGATCAAGAAAACCCCAGCTATGATTGCGAAGTAGCTGCCATAAATTAAAAACTGGGAGGGAGAGAGAAAAAGGCAGAAGAATTAATGAAAAACGCATTAGGGAAACGCTGCTTCTTCTGGAGATGACGGACACTACTATTCTGTTTACCTGTGTTCTGGCACAGTTTCTCTATGTTCAAGTTTTTGTTTTGCAATTAAGCAAAACCTTAACTTTTCCAGCAAACAGCAGATCTATGGGGAATGGAGAACTGCCCCTTGGTTCCAGTTCTTGTGCCTCTTAATAAACATCAGTTTATTAAGAGGAAGGGTTAGGAAGAGGATTTTTTTTTTTTTCTATTAGTGCAAAATGTAGAAGTATCTTCATTACCCACATAATCATGAATAATGTAGGTGAAGAGTCTGAGTTGGTCTTCTTTTGCTCTTACTTGCACGTTTCAGTGCTGTTACCACTCTGGCTTCCATAAATATGCCATGACTTTTGTACCAGTATTTCCAACAATGTGGCAAGCCTATTTATTAAGTCCTGCATATTCCTGTCCTTAATGTTAAAGTTTTATTTTTTAGTGTTTAATTCAATTTTTAATATTTTAAAGTAACTTTTGCTTTCTCTGTGTAGAATATCTGAATAGCTTTAGTCTTCTTTAAATCCATGGGAGCAGGAAGCTGCCCCGGCTGAGATCCCATCTGAGAAAATGCAGAAGTCAGTACGTTTCAGCTGACTCCAACATGAATGGAATTGGGTTGACTGAAGTTAGGGACACTGTGGCGAGATAGGATGTCCCACCCTAAATTACGTGCCCAAACTATGGGCAGAAAACTCTTATTATTCACTTTGAGATACAGACCAGATTTACCACTGATCTGGAATTAGAAGGCAGGTGTCCTTGCCACTTGAGCTGAAATAACTCTAATAATCCAGGCTGTGTCTCATGGTCTTGAACTCCCATAACAACACGTGGTTGTGTTGATTCTGCATCTGAGAAAACCAGGCTGAATTTTTGGGCAGAGAAGATGTTATTCAGTGTCCTTCTAATTAGCAAAAGCTGGTCAGATAGCAAGGTCCAGTTATTTTTGCTCTGGTGTATCTGCCCTCAAAAAAGTCAAAGACCAGCATCTGTAATTCTAAAAGCACACTAATAGGCAAGAGGGAAGAATGATGGCTGGCACAAGGGAAGAGCAAGTTGTCTAGATTTCTGTAGATGAAAGAGGGAATTCAATTGTCCTTTGGCACAGCGATTTCTTTCTTGGTAAACTTTTGAAGATTAATTGGCTAAGCAGTAAATGGAAAATAGAATCATAGAATAGTTTGGGTTGGAAGGGACCTTTAAAGGTCATCTAGTCCAACGCCCCTGCAATGAGCAGGGACGTCTTCAACTACATCAGGTTGCTCTGAGCCCCATCCAACCTGACCTTGAATGTTTCCAGAGATGGGGCATCTACCACCTCTTTGGGCAACCTGTGCCAGTGTTTCACCACCCTCACTTTTTAAAAAAAAAATAAAAATTCTTCCTTATATCTAGTCTAAATCTTCTGTCTTTTAGTTTAAAACCATTGCCCCTTGTCCTTTCACAATAGACCCTGCTAAAAAGTTTGTCCCCATCTTATAAGCCCCCTTTAAGTAATAAAAGGCCTCAATAAGGTCTCCTTGGAGTCTTCTCCAGGATGAACAACCCCAACTCTCTCAGCCTTTCCTCATAGGAGAGGTGCTCCAGCCCTCAGATAATTTTTTGTATCCCTCCTCTGGACCCTCTCCTACAGGTCCACGTCTTACCTGTGCTGAGGGCTCCAGAGCTGATGCAGTACTCCAGATGAGGTCTCACCAGAGGGGAGTAAGTTAATAACACTCACCTGAGTCACTATGTTCAGTCCCAGGCCTTTTGAATCCACGACGACTATTGTAAGAATGGTCTGCATCACCAGTGCAACAAAGTTGTTGAATCCAAACATCAAGGCGTAGCGCTCCATGCTCAGATTGACTGCAATCTGGAACCTAATGTGAGACTGGCAGGTCAGTTACTTCACTCTGGGTGGGAGGTTTTTCCTCTCAATTTAGTTGATGAAGAGAAACATACAGATGAAGATTCATACAGGTGATATATCAAGGATGGAATAAATAGTGCTTCATTCGTTTGCATTCTTGTTTACTCTAAATGATGTCTTGACTACAATAGTGCATTCAGATGGGTTTTTTATTTGCCTGTGTTGCTTTTCCAAACCACGCTATCAGGTGATCTGTTTATCCATTTAAGAATCAGATCTCTTTAATCATTCCCTTTGTTTCCTTTCTACCTTCACAAATTGTGCCAGACAGCTCATAAATGAAAGACATGGTCAGACAAAACCATGACCTGATCTGGCATCGGCAGGAGTTCTTCTCTGGCTGGGATGTTAGACTAGAAGGTCACTATGGGTATTGTCTAACCAACTTTTCTATGATGATGTGAATCAGTTCTTGCTTTGTGGCTTGACAGTTGAGGTAACATACCATTTATTCCTGTCGAGAGCCTGTAGATTAGCCTTGCAATTTCTTTTCCGATAATAATTGGAACATCTTTCCTTGCAATATTTACCTTCAAAGTTTCTATCTGAACAAATGTGTGCTAGTCCTGCAATGCTCTTTTGATTTTGATTGAGGCTTTTTTTGTGCAAGCCTTTTTTTTTTGTTTGTTTTTTGGTAGAATATACTGAAATAGCCCAGGTGTGATCCACTATAGTGTACTAACGATCCACCAAAATTAAAATAGAGGGTTCATTTGGCTTCATTAGGTATAATTTTTGTCATGCATTATAGTTTTAACAGTTTTTTGAAATGATATCTGAATAATTTGGGGGTTTGACATAATTCATTGGGCATTTTTGTTAATGAAATATCTTGGTATGTCTAAAAACATTCCAATAGATAAAATGAAGTAATAAAAATACTTTATATTTATTATACAGATTACATACTATTTTTTATTTATTTATTATTTTTCTATTTCTTACAATAGAACAGCTTGGTCTCCTAAGAGATCTTGTCTAAGTTTATATGCCCAATGTTTTCTTTTATTCCCTGTTTACATCATAGTACCATTAAGGGTTTATAGGTATGAAGCTATGTTGGGGAATAATGTATGCTAAATCTTTTTTTGCATTCATGCAATTCATAGCTTGCTAACGAGTATATCAGCAAACTGGTCTAGACATAATTGGATCTTCTTCACTCCTTCGCCAGGAAGGAGGAAAATAGCTTATATGTTTTGTTGTTACTATTGCCTTTAGTAATAAAGAAGACTTATACTTTGTTTAATTTCTGCCTAGGTATGTGTTTGACATCCTTTTAACAGTTTTTTTTAATGCTTGCTTAGAAGAGTGAAAACAGCATAACTAGACATTTAAGTGTCCTTGTCTTTACCTAAACAGTTATGTCTAGCATTAGGTCACCTACCTCTGAGTCAAAGGAGGGATGCCCAAACTTAAAGTATTATTGGTATTTTGTGCATAATAGTAGGACTGTAAGGTTTTATACTTACGTTGCTATTGTTATGAGGAGCATATAGCATGCTTTGAAAATGAGGTAGCCGGCGTAACATGCCCAGATGTTGGTAGTGAAGTGCATGAGAAATAGAGAACCAGCATCTATTGCAGAGAAGATCCCTAAAGCCAGTTCTCCAAAAACGTCCCAGTTAATTTTCATATATTGTACTACAAAAGACGTTACTGAACCTAGAAAAAGAGAGGGGGGGAAAAATGTAAATGTATCTATTCTATAGCCTGTATCATCAAGTCTTGCCACCCTCATGTGCTGAAAGGCAATGCTGAATAATGGAGTAGAGTAGTTCTGAAAAGCACTTCTAATCACTTCTGAAGTCATGCAGGTGACTGGTCACTTTTAGACAACTGCATAAATCAAGTCTCTGCCATTCCTTTCTTAATGTTTTGTTCCACTTCACAGGATAAACTGTTATATAGAAGGATTCATTATTTATCTGTCTGTACTGAACATGTATCTCTAGGGAGAAAACTAGGAACATGATTTGGAACTCAAGAAGAAGAATTCTTCAAGCTTCTACTAGCTTACTTTATAGCTAAGCTAGTAAACAATTGTCTTTTGGTTTAACAGTTTAGGTCTGTGCACTTAAGCTCTTGAAAAAGGGAATTTTGTGCGATATCAAGTGTATGCGTTCAGGGAAATAAGAAAGGATAGGCACTGTTTGCTTTTGGTAGGCCTGCTACACAGACACATCTGTTGCAAAGGTAAGACTATCTATAAGATGTCTATAAGACTATTCATCTTATGGGTCTCATACAATTTTAAACCTTCTACATCAAGAAACAGGCAACTCCATGAGAAAGAGGAATTTGTCAAGAAGCAGACAGGAGTTAAGTGCTTCTAATTCATAATTCAGTTGGTCTGTTTAGTTGCCTACCTCAAGACGAGAGTAATTTTTCATCTTAGAAGTTTCTGTTTCCCCTTAATGCCTGTAAGGGTAACCTGAATAACCAGGTACAAAGTGGACATGTTTATTTTCCCTGGTGGGTCACACCCCCATGTCTTGTGCAAGTTCTCTACAGCAGCACAATACGAGCATGAGAAACACTGCCAAGCCAGGGTGGTATCCTCTGATGTTACCTTTCGATAACATTACTTTGTTTGTGCTGTGTGGACATCTGCTTCCGGTCCAAAAGAGTAATGGTTAACGTCAGTAGCACAATGAATTCAATAAGGTCTTTTCTGCAAATCTCCATATCTTGAAATGACTAAAATTCTTCTTTCCCTCCTGCTGTGCCAGAATATTTCACTAGCAAGATCTTAATGAGAGGATTATGTTCTTTTAGTGTAAAATATTTATGAAAAGCTTTTCATCTGGGTAAGCTGATACTGTTGTTATGGGAACTGTGTGATATTTGTTTGGGGGGGAAAAAAAAACCCCAACAACCTCATCAAAAGAAACACAGGTGCCTCTGAATGGATTTAGCAGTTGGATGCAAGGTCCGTGTGACTTGTACACTCTCTGCATAACAGTAGATGAAGTTGGGTGCTCCAGTTATAAAGAAAAATAGCATAGCTTGCATTTGAACTGTTTTTCACACCTCAGGACTAGATTTTGAATGCACAATGCATACACTGGCTTCCTGGAGCATCTGCAATGGACTGGCACTTAAAAAATGTTCTAAAGTAAAACTTCAGAAGCTGCCTTTGTGATTGATGCTGAGACACCAACTTACTCAGAAAAGTTGCTATTGCTTCCACAGCTCCATTGTACACTGCAGAGCTGTGAGAGGGGGCTCTGAAGTCCCACAGCACTTGGATGTAATTGAGAACCTGGTTAAAGCCTGCCGTGGCCAGAGCCCACCACAGGGACCAGTAGAGAAGTTTCCTAGAGCTGTAGCAGTCCCTCAGGTCCTTGCCCAGCTGCACCAGTACTCTGAGCACGTTGGTGTGGGGTCTGGTGTTACCAGCCTCTGCTTCGGGTGGGGGTCCCCTGTCAGCAGACACGGAGCCCTTGTCCTCCTGGCAGCTCGATGGCCCGTCCGAGCCAACTGAGGCCACAGATTTATCTGGCTCCGGGGCAGGTGGTGAGACATCTTTCCTGTGGAAGAACATACTCTTTTGTGGCATTGGGAGGAAGAAGGAACACAGGAATGCCAGGGACACGGAAGCCAAAGAGATGGCGTTGAGGTGAAAGTAGGAGACGTCTGCCAAGGAGACCAGCAGCTGTCCCAGCACGGCGGCAACGGTGGCTGCAACCAGAGTGATACTTCTGCAATAGCTCGTCACTCTCTGATAGTGATCGGTGCTGACGACGCTGTAGATGTAGGCGTAATAGGCCACCTCGGTGGCTGTTGCCATCCCGTAGAAGAACTCCACCATCTGCATGGCCAGCACTCCCTGTGCGAAGAGGAGCAGGAGCCACGTGATGATGAAGCTGATGCCCTGGAGGAGGAGGACGGGCTTGTAGCGCACGTAGTCTGTAATCAAGAAGACCGGGAAGAGGAGTGCAAGGTAGGAGTATGTCCAAACTGGGTAAATCTGGTTGGTGACCTAAAACAGAAAAGGAAATCTCTGTGTTGTTATTCTGGAGGAAAGGTAGTTCGCTTATTTTAAATGGCTTTGTAGAGAGAAATTTTGCTCTGAAGGAATTCATAAAATATATAACTACACTGAGGCATCATATGACTGTTGAACAGGCGAGTGGATCTTAAATCCATTAAATGGATCTTTTATTTATGCCATCTACTGCAAATTGTAGCCTGTCAAAGCTGGTTATAGCACGCTTTTTTGGTTTTTTATTTGCTTAAAAACTTTGTTTAAAGTTTTACTTTTTTATTTTTTTTGCTGCTCTATGTAGAAGGAAAGGCAGAATAAAGCCATACCTCATCTATGGTCAGGTTTTTATCTGGTCCTGTTAGATAGGGGGTTAGGAAAGGTTCTGATGGTTTCATCATGTAGAAGAATCCATAGAGGCAGAGAATCAAGGTGGGGAAAGTCCAGGTGTTGCTTTTTTCTTGCTTCCAGCAGCCCATGGCCTCTGCAGCAAAGTCGAGGAGGAAGTTTGTTAGAGGGATGATAATGCCCACAGAAGTGCAGAGATGTCTTGTAATTGATTTTTATTTTGTGGTTTCTAATGCTAAGGAGCGCTCTTTAGAGGCTGGCAGTTGGAAAATATTTTTCTTCATAACTTTCAATTGAACAGCTTTTCCTTACGCCTGTCTGCTGTTTCTCTGTCTTTGTAGACAGTGTATAAAGAATGACTTGGAAGATCTTTAACTGGGAGACAGATTACACTCTCATTCAGTCTGCACTGATCAAGCTAACTAGAGGAAAAGCCTTTCCAGACAAAAATCACAGAAGACAGCAGAGTACTGAGATTTCACTCAGCGACTTATCACAGCCAAGCACCGTGGTGAATGTCAATTAACAAGTCCATGATTACTGGGTTGTTTTGGTTTTTTTTCTCTTTTGCTTCCTAGATGTGCATGGCTTTCCTGTTACGGAGAGCTGGTAACTGAGGAGCCTAGTAGATGAGAGTCACTAGTAAATACAGAAAGGATGCCAAGCCAGATCCTCAGCTGGAATTAACTGTCAGAAGTCCAGTTTGGATACAGACATCCCATTTTCAATCTATTAAAAAACAAACAAACAAAAAAAAAACCCACCACATTTGTTGTCACTGAAAGTAATAGTTCACACTGAAATGAAATAAAGCAGATATTTTTGTTCTTGATTCTAGATGAGACTTACAGAATAAATTAAACTTTGCAACTCTGCTGGACAGAGCCCTGAGAGAAGTCAAAATGGGTATGATACGGGGCATGCAAAGGAAACTGTAAGTTATACTCCATATTCATGCTGTTATAGGCAATGTCAGGAATCTAAATGTGTACAATTTATCTTTTGGAGCCCTCTGCATGGTGCTTGTTACCAGCTGGGGTTTCTGTCACTCCGCTTTTGACTTTTACCTCTTTACTTCCCGAGAACTTTTGTCTTCAGGCAAAAGTTTTAGTCTTAGAAAATGAAGTATTTTGCAGGCAGATTTTTCCTCAAACTTCTTCTTGGTAAAAGCTGAAGAAAGATCTCTTCCAAAACAAAAAAAATGTTCACATACCTATTGACTACATCATTCCAGATTGGGTGGGCAGAGGATCCTCTCATAGGGTGTGTGATACATAATGTATAAGGCAGCAGGCATTACGCATCTTCTTTTCTAACTTCACACCATGATAGCACACTTTACTAATGACCTCATGCACTAAGATATGGGTACAGACCAAAGGGAATTGGAATTATTTCATTTTATGCATAATAGCTGACAGCATTGACTTTACAGCAGAAATGGACTTAGCTCTGCAGTGTGAACCACTAGAGGGCAAGATGACCCCAGCAAAGGAAAAACGTGTATGAGAGGAATGTGAGACACATCCAGAGTGCTCAGGTAAAGAAGCATTTCTGACCTTCCTTCCTCCCCCAGTTGTTGTAATAGTTTCTGCTGCAAACATGGCTTTGGCAGGACCAGTTTTGGCCCTGCCCAGGACCACAGTCACTTAGTCATCATAACATCCCCTTGCTCTCCTTTCACATGATAATCATTACAGTGTTACACCACCCTAATGTGGTACTGAGAGGTTTTGAGAAAGGCATCAAGAAGAGGGGCGGTGAAGACCAGCTCTAGCACTGTAATGAAGAACACTTGTACAAGTTAGCCAGGTTGTATTTTTCCCTTCCCAGCCTAGATTCTCTGCTCCAGCCTGCTTCAAGTCATGCTTAGTGGTAACTTGGCAGTGCTGGGTTAATGGTTGGACTTGATGATCTTAAAGGTCTCTTCCAACCAAAACAATCCTATGTTTGCTCTGCCCTCACCAGGCTGCCCGATGCAAAGGCAGTAGGTCTCACAGATCCTTTCAAAACCTCCTGCACCTTGGGAGGTGAGTGGGGCAAACTGCTGTATTCCTGGGGCTCACAGGGTGCTGTGTTGCACCTTTGATGCTGCCCACCTGCGGCAGGGCTGTGCCATCCTGTGCAATACTTTTTAGTTTGAGCTATGTCCAGAAAAAGTTTAGGTGTGCCCTGCTCACCGCTACCCTCCAGTCCTAGCACATGCACTATTTGGGGTTTTCTGCTAAATGTCTACCTCTGTTCTGTAGATTTACTTTTTGAGGCACCTGTGTTAGGCTGGTAGGTAAGTCAGATGAGAAGTTTCCCACCTGATTTAAACAGCTGTGCAGGAAAATGCCTGCTGCTGGTGCTGAGCAGGGAAAGGCACAGCTGAGGGCTGTTTGGGGCAGCCCACTCCACCCTTGAGGAGTGGAAGGTGGGAGCCACTCCATCCACAGCAGGGGGGTGCTCGCCTTGGACCCCAGCCCCCTTTACTGTTGGTGAAGGGCTCTGCTGCAGTCCCAGCTCAGTGCTGCCAGTATAATTGCTCCTTTCTGTATTCATAAACGCAAACCTCTGACAGCGAGATCTCTACCTTGGTGCTCAAAGAGGAGGAATCCAACTTGTTTCACTTCAGTCAGCCCTTATGGTCAATTTGTCTTTCGTAAATCTAGGTTTTTCTTAACTTTTGGAGAGATGGTGGAATGCCTTGGTGTCATTCTGCAGCTAAACAATCCTCTGTTTTCTTGTTTCCCTCCATCAGTTCCTGGTTAGTGCCAGAGCTGTCAGCTCTTCTCCCACACAGCCTGACCCAGCCTCCCAGTTCCCCACCAGATTGCTGTCTTCTTTCCTCCCTTTTTCCCTTGTCACTGTAGGAATTCTGATTTCCAAAGTTCATATGGAATCATACCTTTTCTGCTGGATCTCTTCCTTTCTTACTTCCAAGGGGAAAATCCTCTTTTAGTACTTCCAGTCTTTCTTCTGACTGTCCTGTGTGTATTGCAGCTACTGGACTCGGTTTGGGTTTTGTGCTTTTCCTGTTCTTCTGGTATTTCAGCTTGCTCTCATGACACCTCCTTTGAAACCATTTCCAGCTGGCTTACTTTCAGCACCCTTAAAGGAACAGCCAGACAATCCTGGCCTGCCCTTGCCCAAAGGTAGCAGAAAATTGAGACCCAAACTGCAGTTCGGTGCTTGACTGGCACAAAAGCAATAGAGCTAATCCTGTTCCCAAAGAATTTTGGATCTATTTTACAGGGTATGTGGCTTGGGACCCACCAGTGCCTCAAACTGGTCTATATTAAGGTTGGAGCAGTAGCTATGCATTGGTAACAACAGAGATGAGGGAGAACAAATATCAGTGTTATAAGATTTAAATGTTTCCTCACTAAATACATGGGGTTTCATACTATTCTGGCAGGTTTAAAAAGTAAAACACTTGGCTCTGCTTCTCCTTCACTGCTGTTTGTTAGCAAATTCCTCAGGTCTTTGGCTTAGGCAGGTCAGATCAGTTGCCCAGCTAGACCAGTCCTTTGCCTTCAGCCTTGTCACATTTTGCAGCCTTTTTGCCTCCTGCTCCTCCACAAAGTTACGGGATTAGTGATGTTAGAGGAGCCATCCATGCCTGTTGCCTTTACATCATTTATTTGTTGACCTGTTGTCCACAATTCCATCTAATCCTGCCTGGGACACTTGTGTGAGTTTTTGTGATGTATGTGAAACGGATGTGCGAAAAGGATATAATATTTCCTCTTGGCGCTTTCCTAGCCATCAGTCAGTGTCTGATGCTGTGCTACTTTGGTTCTGTGTGTTTAATTGAACCTGTAGCTATAGGAGGTGGCAGCCCATCTGAGAGGAGACTCTGTATACCTGCATTTGATTTTATTCTCAAGGGCTCTTGCTAAAATGCAGAGAACTTGTGTTGAAGTGAATAGCGTTACTCTGGGTTTGACTTATTGAGGTAAAAATCCAACTCAGATTTCCCAGCACTGCAAAAAACCACCCAAATTCTGTTTTTCCTGTAATGTAATAATGAGAAAGAATGATTTAAGTAATTTCCAGCAATTAATATTTGTTTTTTCTGCTTTCAGATCCTCTTTTATCCTCTACTAGCTCTTCTTTCCATACTCTTTAGTCCATCTTGTTTGTACTTAAAAACTTAATCCTTTTTCACTGATTCACATCTGAATGCCAAATGGAAGACAGTAAAACTGATGGGCTTATGCAAGATTTTGGTCAACTTGAGCCCTATGTCACAAGCTGCTTCCAGCAGAGCTTCGTTGCCGAGTTTGAATGTAGCCTGGTTGGAAGCAGAAGTGTTCTGCTTGGAAGGTGGGCTGGGAGGATCTGTTTATAGCTGGCATCCCAAGTCTGTTCAGCTGGGAAAGGCAAGACTCTGTATGACCTGGAGAAAAGATGCGTTTTGTAGTAAATGAAAGAGTTAATGCAATATGGTTTGTGATGTTTCAAGGAGACGGGAAAATTCTGAGGAGAGAAGGGGAAGGAAAGGCAGTAAGAGAACAAGACTGCAAACCTCTGTCTCTCCGTCTCCTGCCTCTGCTGCCCCTCGGGCTTAATCCTGGTATTATCTCTGGTGCTTCGCAGGACGGCGCCAAGGCTCGAGCACCTCACCTCGGCTGTGCGAGGTACATCTATCTCTGTCTTCAACTGTCTGGTTGGGGCCTGACTTAGGCGCTGGTTTTCGGCTCCCAAATCTCATCTGTGTCTTTACACCTGCATAATTTGGGAGAAGACACTTTGCAAATCAAACCAATGGCTTATACATTTTGAAGAATGCGTACTATACTCCCTTAAAGTAAAAGAGTAAATAGGCAAAGAAAATTTACTGTGGCTAATACTGAAGATTTTTCTCAATTGGTGGTCAAATACAGCCCATGCACAGAGAGGTTACAATGGCAGTTATGAAGATTGAACTGCCTTTCTTGTTGGATTCTTCAGGCTCAGGAGTATTCTCAGGGCAAGTTCATGCTTTGATTTATGGAGGAGCAGACCTTTATCTTTTCTCATGCACTGCATACCCATTTTGGGAACGAGCTGCTGTTTGCAGTCTGAGCCTGAACCCTGCGGTGTGTGGGTGAGGCTTTCCATAACTCGCCTCTCAGCTGAATCTCACACAGGGTGCTCAAGGCGGGGAGACTTTCACATGCTGGGCTCAAATGCTTTCATCTGAGACACTTAAATGCTTATGCAAAGTCTAGTTTTGAATATTTAGCTAGAAAGTACTAAGCGTATTACTTCAAGGGGTAAGTTAAAGAATACACTCAACCAAACTAATGTTTCATGTATTTAGTTTAAATGTAAACTTATAACTACTTCCTTACTAAAGTAATGACAGAACCTTATTTTTCTCTACACTGCTACTTATATTAAGGCCAATGCCCTTCCTTTTTATCCAGTCACTCTTCTTATTCATGTCACTAGAGTGCGCATTGCCATTTGCACTGTGCAAGGTAGTGGTTGCTGGTAGCAGTGCAGGACCTGGAACTAACAGCTGTGTCATTAATCACCACTCTGGGACATTTTGGGGGAGTTAATTCTTCTTTTCTTACAGCTGACATTTTGGTGGTGGCACACTTGGATGTTTGCATAAGCAAGGCCTGGGGCACTTGCTATAATGTGCTACCTACACAGCATGGAGCACATAGAGGTTTTGTGATGAGTTTATATGGACTGGTTGAGTCTACTTTGCTCGCAAAGCCGTGCTTTATGTCCCCTTTTGTACACTGCTAACTTTGGGCCAGTGCTAGATTGAAAGTAGTGCTTTACCTTCTTAAACTCCTGTTATTGGCCAGGAAAAGTTAACTTCAATATCTTTAGCTTTATACAACACTGGTTGGATTTCCTCCTCTTTTGGTTAGAGTTTCATTGTTGAATTAAATGTAGGTGACAGGTCATCACCTGTATAGTTGTGAGAGGCTGGGGAAGTAGCATCTAATTTACGCTGGGTGTCCCCTTGGGAGCCTTGCCAAGACTTTACAGGGACGCATGACATCATTGTTTGCATCACCGTGACCTGCCTTGTAGCTCTCTGTTTTGCTCCATGTCTCTTGCAAAACCTTGTTAGAAACTTTGGTAGGTTTCCAAATAAAGCTGTTTCATGTTGTCTAAGGACTGGGTTTGTTAGTTGAGCAACATCTCCCTTTTACTTTCTCACTCTAATTTGCACAGAACACGCTCTGCTCTCCCAGCTGAGGGGTGCAAAGCAGTGACTCCAGAAGAGTGACAAAGCTGAGCCAGGATATGGTCCAGCCATGTGAATGTGTCTCCTGGTGCTGTTCTGCTACAAAAGTCATTGTTCAAACTGAAGCTGTTTGTGAGTTTTGCTGTATCTTCCCCTTTAATTTATAGGTCTGAGAATGCTGGAAAATTAAATTTTAATATTTTTAACCTTGGTTTTTATGGTTCAAAACTACTTTTGAACAACAACAACAAAATATCAAGCAGGTAATTTGAATAGATGGTAAAACTTCTAGGTCTGAGCAGAAAAATATATTATGTATGGTCTCTCTCTTGATATTGGGGTATATTTTAGCCCTAACAGACAATTTATCTCTGTTGCGATTGTACCAATGGCAAAATACTGTCTTAAATCATTTAAAACAGATAACTGAAGATTGTACCAATGGCAAAATACTGTCTTAAAACATTTAAAACAGATGCAAAAATAGCATGATTCAAAGTTTACTGGACATTGGAAAAAGTCTTCCTGCTGCATTCAGTGAACATTACAACAGCGTAGAAAGGCTTACAGAAGGATAGGTTATACCTTAAGTAGTTCCTTTTGTTTTTCCTTAGATTTTCCTTCCAGATCATCAGTAGAGAACAGGAACTACTATTTTGTCAGTGGGATTCTCTGGGGATTTTCCTTTTATTTAAAATTTTGTTGTGGTTGCTGTAGGTCTACAGCTGACTTTTGTGCAAGTGCTGGCTGTGGGTGGGCGTACTGGGCTCTAGTTTCCCTCTGCCCCACACATAGTGTGTCTGTCTGTTCTTCTACTGGCATAGAAGACGTCATGTTTAAAGGAAGAACAGCAGTTTGGTATTTCTGGATGAAGTGGAGGATAAATGTTTCTGGAGAGAAAGACGTGGTTGTATTTTTATGGCTGCAAAGCTATCTTTCACCATCACTTTAAGATTGTCAATGTGGTTCACAAGTTGGCTTTGTGCTCTTCACTTCTGCAAGCAATGTGGTTGAAACATGTCTATTTTCTGTGGCTAATAAGAACATTTTGTTTAATGCTTCCTTGATATGAGCTACATGTTACATGTAAGAATGAAACAATCGCTTTCATGAAGTACCAAATGCTGTAAAAGTTGTGGCCTGTTTTCTCATCAGTGCCAACCGCAGATCACTCTCATGACAGCTATGAGTTCCACATGACCAACGAGCCAAGTAGTGTCTGGATATAGAGCTTTGGCAACTCTCACTTTTTTTTTTTTTTTTTTTTAATCCCAGCCTCAACTCCACCCCTATCTCCAAGTTTACTACTTGATGATTGGACTTGGTGACTTTGCCAATCTATTTTTATTTTTTTGTAATGATGCTATACGATCTAATTCAATGTGCACTCTTACCTTGTGCTTTAGCCTTTTTTTGCATACTTTTTTCATCTCCAGTGAAGTAACAAAAAGGAAATGATATATAGGTCAAAGAAATCTCATTTAAATTGGTTAATATTTCTGGTGACTAATGGTGTCTTAGTGTGGATTGCCAAAGAGAGATGAGACAAAAAAACCTGAAAGGATTTCTAAGTAACTTTCTGTGTTGAAAGATCACTTTCGGAGGCATGTTCCCTTCAACGCTTATCCGACAGACTTCCCACTAGTGGCAGATTTTGCCGTGTCGTCATGGATGGGCATCTTGTTTCAGAGATGCAAATTTGCATTTGCACAACTTGTGTGTAGGAAGTTTCAGCCCAACTCTACCTTTTTTTTTTTTTTTTTCCTTAAGGTGCATCTCACTACAGACACTGTGGGAGCCTCTGAATCATTGCAAC